ATCATCCCCCACCACATCACCCTGAGCTTGAGATCCTCCCTGGCTGGAAGACGCTCCCGAAAACCCGGGACGCATTCCCGGAGGAGCTGACGTTTTCAGTCACCTTTTCTATAAGCGACCGCGGGCTCTGTCCTCCGGCTGAGCATCCCTCCCACCTCCCCCGGGGGAGCAGGGTAAACCAAACCGGGCTGAGGGCAGGGAGCCGCTCCCCGCTGCCTGCTCCGCTCCCGTCCGACCCGGAGAGCTCCCCGGCACCAGGCCGGGTCCTGCCGGTGCCGCTCCAAGGCCACAATCTCCCGGTTGTTTTCCCAGGTACCTGCCCGAGGGGCTGCCTGCCTCTCGGCTGCCTCAGCCAACGCTGCAGACCCGCTTAGCATCACTTAATGAACTGCCACATCCTCCCGAGACCTTTAAAGTGGGGCTTCTCGTTCCCGGGAGGTCTTTTTTTGTTTGTTTTTTAATGCAATACATAACGCCAATCAAAGGCTTAAAAAAAAAAAAAAATGTATTCGCACCTCTGCTGAGTTGGAAAACTCCCGTCTAGATAAGTAATCCCCGGGGACTGCGATTCTGCGACCCAGGGTAGTTTGGAAACTGCTGCTCTGAGTGTGTATAGACACGTTACTCAGCACATTTTTGCTGCAAGGTCCCAGGGGAGGGATGGCACAGAGCACACCGTGTCGCTGCGGGCCGTCGGGCCGATGGGCATTGCTGGCGGTGGTTTTGATAAATATATATATATATATTTAATGTACGGCTTTATTCCTCGTTTCCCTTTGGCTTCATCTCTGCAGGGGTAACGCCTCATGCTACCTGTTAGCAAGGTTGGCAGCCGTGACCTAAATTAAGGCAGTTATCATTGCTGGCTGTGGTGCCACGGGAAGTGTCCCTGTTACACGGGGAAGGGGAAGCAGAAGCGAAGCGGACGAGCCCGAGTGCGTGCCCAGGTTCACAGGCTGCTCCGAGGGGACACGGGGACTGAGCCCGGAGCCTGGGCACCCCAGGACCCGGTTACTTTCCCGGAGGGCCTCTTCTGGAGGCGGCACGGGGTCCAGCGGAGGTGGGGGTCGATGTTGGGGGCCCCTGCGGAGGCGAAGCCTAGCCCAGCTGTAAAGCTCCTCCGGAGCGACGGGGCGGGCGGGCACCGGCCGGGGTATCGGCCACGGATAAAAAGCCCCAGGGGGTGGGAGAGGGACGGAGCGGGCCCCTCGGAGCTGATCTGTCTCTCTCGGCGCCGGTGGCTCAGAAGAAGGAACCCCCAGCCCGCCCCTCGCCGGTCTTAAGCCGGTTACCCCTGTGCTGTGGGACTTCCCAAACACAGATCCCAGCTTGAGATAGCGGAAACCTACTGGGACTGGGCTGATTTTCACCCCATGGTCACCCTTTGAATGGTTAACACAGGGTTCCTGGGTGTATTTCGGTGTTGCCCTGTCTTTCTTTTCCTCTCCTCTCTCAGCGTCTCCCCATCCGGGCCGGTGTCTGGGGAACAAAGGCTGGGGACCTGGGGGACAGCCCCTCGCCCCTGCGAGCTGCTCTCGCTGCTCTTAATGAGGATTCATTTCTTTAGCCTACACTCTTGGCTTTCATTATGGAGCCTGTTTCGCTCTCTTCATGGTCATTAGGCTGCAGCCCAGTAACTCCCTCGCCAGATCATGTGCGTGCTTAAAAAATATCTATTTTAAAATAAAATGAATACATTTAATAAATAATAATAGCTATCATATTATTATTATTAATAATAATAAATAAACCTGCAGTAGTATTAGTCGTTATCACCATCTATCTGCCCGTCTAAATTAGCTGTCCGCTCACACAGCATTTCCACCTCTCCCAAGCAGAGGTTTTTCTCCACCAGCCCCTGTCCCGAGATGCTTTCGGGGCAGGCTGGGGGGG